ACTCCCCGAGTTCATTAGAAATTGTGGAATATACCGCCAATAATGGCGCTTCATTCATTGAAATAGCTCTGGTGTCGATAAGGGCAGACCGTGTTGTAGGATTTAACTAATTTCCTTTCTGAACTGTTGAATATGATTCAGTTTTTGGAATTTGAGGACTTATTTGGAGATGAGTGCCTTTGAAAACTTTGTCAACTTTGCACTTTTTAAGTTATCACATGGTGTTTTTTCCTCTAACCTGCGCATTTTGCTCTCTCTCTCAATCACATTTGCGCATACTTGTGCATTCAACTTCGTTAGCCCGAACTATTTAGACAGGCTCAAGTCCATACATCACTTGATCCAATGATAAGTTTAAACCTCGATTCGGAGCCTCAAGCCAGGTAGTCGATGAAATGCGAAGAATGAAATACAATCAGTTTACCTTGATTCTTACAGCACCTTCCACCGCGTGCCATTCAATAAATTCTGTTTACCACCGCCACGTTTGCAATTTGACTGGAATACAGTTGATTTCAATAAAGCAACCTACTAGTTTGTTTTACTGTAATGTGTTGTAAACTGGCATCCGTTACGAACTAATACAGAGACATATGTTTTATAGTAGGGGAATGGGGAATGGGTGTAAGTTTTGGAACTTTTTTCTTACCTTTATTTACAATACTTTGTTGGTTAGACGGGGCTATCCGAGGGGTATTTAATCACCTATTTTGGCTGAAATGGAATTCGGTGTCTTCAAAACGTCATACCAACCATGCAACGAACTACGATAAGACACATGTTTGTTTTACCGAAGGGACACATACAACTTGGTGTTCCTTAAGGTAACTTTATACATTGTGTAATTAGATACATGATCAATAACCTCTCACTTACTTTTTCATTCATTTTAAAACTGAACATGTTTTCACCGCTCAAACGACCCTAAGTACTTAATTCAAAAGGTTGCCTAAAAGAGTTCTTATCAGTGACTTACAGGAATTCCCAATTCATGGTTATCATGGAGTTTCTGTTCATAGAGATATAGAGACAGAGACAATCAATAACACGCATCCCGACACTCCCAAGCAGCTCTCAATTTAAAACAATTGGTGAACTAGCATGAACAAATAGTATTCATTTAAATTGCTTGTTAATTTTCAAATGGTTGCCATATCATTAATAGTCTGATCATCTGGTAGTGAATGGCGAAGAAATGTAAACGGAATGAGCGTATTGATTGTTGAGACCTGCATCAACGCTGAAAATATTGCATTCACCAATTTACCATTTTGAAATAGTATCCCATTCTACTGGGTTGTGTAACGGCCTTCGTTCTGTTTGTCATATTTTATTTCCTGATTGCGTCTGGAATTTACTGCCAAGCCGGAAGTGCTAGATTTTACGAAAAAGAATTACTCGTAAAACTATTCAAACCTGAGATGCGATAAGTTGGGATCAATTTCCGAACAAAATGTTTTACGTACCATGAAGCTGAATTTATACTGATTGTGCTTATAGCAAGCTACGATCATCAGCGAACCGAAGTCGATTGCGGTTGGTTTTATAACATCTTGTTCCCAAAAACTGGATCAGTTTCCCTGAATACGTATAAATATTCTAGGATTTGTCACCACTATTTAGATATACAGATTTGGTGTATCGCCTCCTGGTTTCATCTCATTGTGTAAATTCCACACGAAAGCCCATCAAACTAGTTGACATTCAAACGATGTGCTTGTGATACATGTTGCAGGGGAATTACAAGTGCATGTAAGTGGTTTCAGAAAGCGATTTAGGATACGTAAAACTATTTGTTGGTAGACATTAAGTACGAAATCATTCATGTGCCTCCAAGGAGATTTCGTTTAGTCACCTGGATACTATATGAACTATATGAGTTTAAACCCAACAGAGCTTCTTTTGATCGATATTTAATTAAATAGTATGCATAGTTACCGTCCGTAACGGTATGGATATACAATTATGGTTCCTAAACATCGACCGAGACCAATACAATAGGATAGGGAGTTTAGCACTTGACCGAGATGGACGGAAAACCTGAACCGCAGAAATTTGAAGTATGACAGGAATGGCCACTATTACAATACCGGATTACTTTCTCGAAAATAATCCTTATCTATTTGGGTTATATTACCATTAGTGTTTTTATACTCGGCCCAGTGAACGTTATCTAATGCACTAAGCACCACTGATCATCTGGTAATAAATCCGTATAATCAATCACATGTTTTGTTTTCTGAGCATACTGATAAGGTCATCGGGCCAGGTTTTCTAACGTTTGGAAAAGCAAACTAAAATCCACCGATCCTAAGGCAGATGTTAGTCCTTATTATACCTGGAATATGATTTCTCGCTGGCGATTCCTCAGTGGCCATTAACAATGCAACCTCATTGTCACCATTTGCTTTGACATTTTCGGGCTTACGCTAATCAGTACCACAAGATGAATTCGTTTACCTTATTTTTTCTTCTCACTTCCTTCATGTACTTCAGTGGCAAACTGTCCACAATGACTGCGGTTGCTCCCACAGGTCGACCAAGAAGAGGATCCATTTTCGTCTCTGCCTTGGCCCAAGATCCTCTGGGCAATTCCTCGACTGTGGATTACACGTGAGTCCATGCATGGTTCCTTGTGTATCAGGTGAGCTATGAGAAAACTATTATAACAGAGTGAATTGGTCAAGCCAAGAAAAAAGTGAGCAATAATTGTTGAACAACTAAATACAATCATACATTTCCTTTAGACACGCAGTTCGCGAAAATCGCCAGAATCCTTTAGGGGTGAGAGAGGGACGGGGACCGAATCAGAAAGCGAACAATTTTACATGCTGTGAGATAACGAAACAGGCTGTACACATTGAATGAGCGAAATGGGCGAATAACCTGTTTGCGCACGCAACCCTTCCCGGATCCGAATCCTAGCTAGGTGATTAGGGGAACAATGTGGCAGGAGGCAGGAGGATTAGCATTTCCAACACATTGCACGCATGGAAACGCGAACCGTGTTGATCTTGCTCTGATTTAGGAGGATATGTCAGTAGTTGTTTCTTCTCGTGAATGTCAACATTTCGCTGAAATAAAAAGAAAAGAACTACTTGGAAATTAACTAACTTAACGTGCAAATATTTATATATATAAAAATAACCCAAAGAATTATGCATCGCCACTGGTTGACCAAACATAGTAAAATTTTGTCTGTATCCGTTTCCATTTAGCCATTACTGCAATAAACTCAAACGAAACACCTGAGTGCTGCGAGAGAACTAAATGTCATCTCTCTAGCTTTCGGTGATTGGAAATCATCTCCAATCCAAAAGGCCGGGCTGTGATTTAAAAAGCCCTCAAAGAAACCGAACTACTCCTATCATTGACCCACTTAATGTATGTACGCTACTCATACCACCTTGCTGCGGAAGTATCCCGGAAATGACTGAACATGCTGTTGGACTATGGACTGTGTGTTACCTTTCGATGTTAGGATGAGTTCAGTCAATATACACAATTCAGTAGTAGTTCAAATTGAGAGTCTGCAATACAACTTCAGACTAACTGAGTGGCTTGGAGTGCCTGAGCAACCCCAGTTCATCCTTCGCGAACCAGTAGCATGTGATTTACAAAAGCGAAGCTTTGTCAAATAGGCATGGCTACATGATAACCATAAATATGATCTGTGGTTTGAACAACTCAACTAAAATAGAGCAGTAAAATCACCAACAAATGTAGTGTTCGTAACGGCAGTTTATTATTTAAATTGGTTTCATTTAATTGCTCGGATATGGCAAATTTCCGACGTTTAGCAAATGGACTCTCTAGCCCTATGTACCATTTTCTAATTCCGTGTGCAGCAATCAGGTAATCGTTTCTATCTGCTCTATTGCCTACCCTTGACTCAGACTGCGTGCAGTCAGTATCACACTTCTACCGTTAGTCACTGTGTGCGATGGATGATCACCAGGCAATTGTCAAACTCTGGGGAGATGTTTGCGAGGTCTCTCCGAAAGAAAACAGTTCCGATCAACATGTTATTCTGACAACAGATAGAAGATCGTTGAACTTAAACTTATCTAAGTTTGAATGCTGCTTAATAATTGTTAGCACATTGTATACCTCATTTTATCTCAGTAATAAAGTTATTACTGTTTGTCTAAGGGGATTTACTTCCTCCAGTTATTTCAGTCGAAGAACAATATTCTTCTAGAATAGTATTGAACAGTAGCCTGACTTTAAGCTAGATGAACTAGAAAGAACTGACATTCATCAACGAACGCGGAACTTTGACCGATTGCAAACCACACTTGACACCAATCTCCCTTAAACTCAATTCATTTCAAGGTCAATGATATTTCCTTCCCATTTGTTTGGTAAAAAGAATATAACTATATGCCATATTAGGTTTTTCATAGTGTTAAACGCCTACAATCACCTGGTTCGTTTTGGGGTCCATCAATTACACGTCACTAACTTGGTGCAACCGCTTCCGAATGGAATCGTTCCCAATGAACCTATTTGTTGATTGGCTGATTTATAACCCTATTTCGCCGTCCAATATCGTACGCAGNGCATAGGTGGATTGACGACAATCCGTATAGTTGCCACATCTGTCTAGACAAGTTAGCTTAGAACGTAAATGTGCCCGCATCCGTACGTATAAATACCTGCACACACGCACACGCATGCACGCACAGACAGACAGACGAAGGTCAATATAGCCCACAGCACTCGCACCAGTGCTTTGATTTGTCAGAAAGACCGCTAGGCGGCTCCCAGTCAAGCGTCACGCATTGGTAGTTCATTTCACTGAAAGGAACATTCGGTTCGGCTCACGTGCGAAGATAGCCAACAAGAAAAACACAGCATCCGGTGTGATCCTTACTCCTGCCCTCGTGACTCACGTGACCCACGTGACCCTTTTGTGGGTGTGCACGCGAGCGTGTGCATGTATTTGTTCGTGATTATCATGCGTTGCTAGTTGACCCATTTCGGTCACATCACCTCGAATGGTCATGTGGTGCATCCTGTGTTGTCAGGCTCAAACACGAGAGGACATCAAGTGTCCGGAACAGGAAACCGCACGACCGTTGGAATTACACAAAACGGCTTCCAGCGAACGTGTGGCGCTCATATCACCGATAAATAGTGTGAACATGGATGCTTCTCATGAATCACCGACAACTGGTCCTGATCATGAATGTAATGATCATCATATGGGTGATACAATTATCGGAATTAATGGTAACGATGCAGTTAAATCTAACTTGGAAAATAATTACTTAGTCAAACACGCAGACAGTAAAGTTAATCCATTAACTGAAAAATCTACTGATATCTCAAAGTCGACCAACCCAACAACTGCAACAGTACCCAGATTAACAACATCACTAGCACCGTCAACCCCTGAGACTGCACCGTCAACAAGAGCAAAATTGGTTACTACAAGCCTGGTGGAACCTACCACCACTGCAACCGCATCGGAACAGATATCAAAAAGATCCCAAAAGACGCATCGCGCAGAAGGAATGAGTGTTTCATTTAATACGCCAGAAGAAACGTCAAAGGCTGATCGACCCCCGGGTCAACACAGTGTGACTGGGAGACCAATCTGGACGCTGAAAGATGTGCTCGATTCACCGTACAAATATGAGCCGACCACAGACGGAAAACCGGATGAGCTTATCATTTCTGTGAGTGATTCGAAACCTTATCAGACTGAGACCAAATGTGTCGATTCAACAGAACAGAGTGTTTCTGACATCAGTACGTCCAAGCCTAATAATGATGGTGGTAATAATAATGGTGGTAGGGTACAACTGTCTCGGCGACACACTCGACCTGGTTCATTATATCATCCTCACACCACCTTTTTCTTGCCCCGCATTTCCACCGATCCAACAACGGGTCATCATGCGTTGGACCACGCTTACGCTATGGACGGAAAACTTCTACCCATTCGCAGAGGATCCATGATAGTTCGTTCAGGTCGAACCACCGCATCGTCCACAAATGTGCAATCCAGTGCGATTGAACAGACTACCACCGGTGCACCCAGTGCCGGTGTGGAAGGATTTATTGTTACACCGTTTGCCCAAGTGTTGGTCAGTATGCAACGAATTCGAAGCGCTTTTATTCGGTTAACAGCCACACAAAGTACCAATCGGTAAGTAGAACCATTTTATTTTTGCTTTCTACTTCTGGCGCAGTTCACCAAACTGTTTAGATCCNTTTAGATCCGGAGGAAGTGATTAACAATGCCTAGGATCATCATTTTCCGTTCAGTTATGATATCGAATCCGATAACATCCAGTAGTGCCGTTGTCTGTTTAAATGGATGTTTCCTTCACTAGGGCGTATTTACAACACAATCTCAAATGTCATTTAAAAAACAATCATGAAAATCCTACAAGAATTAGGTTGTGTATTCTCTTGAGAAAATCCGAATGCGTGAGAATCATTCACAGATAATTTCAAATACGATATATAAACTATACCGTGTATAAAACAAAAAAGCGTGAATTGAAAGTCGAGGAAGTACTGGACAGTTGGTATGACCTGGTTCAGTCTTGTCAGTCCAAGGAACCGGCGGAGAATCGAACCCGGGACTACACAGGCAGAACACAAGTATGCTACCCACTTGATCACTGAGCAGCTGATTAAACCTGTTTTTAATGTGCCAATGCACGAGCTACCATAACCCATCTTTTCAAGCTCCATAGACGATGAATTTCACCATAAAATCAAATCAAATAATTGACTACTGCCATGTAACGATAATTCTTTCGATATAATAGCAGGCCATGTGACTCCCTATATGTCTCAAGTGTAGTAATAAAACAATGATCAATTCGTATTTTGCTATGTGCAAGCATTTCAGTTTCTATCAGTGAAGTAGTGATGGATGAATAGATGTATGGATCGACAAAAATTTATTCCACCAGGATTTAATCTTGTATGAAATATTGATCATTTGATGCTCCCAATGGTACGACTGAAGGTTTATCTTTGCGAAATTTTTCAATAAATTAACTGAAATCTATCGTAATAATGTATCGCTCACCAAATGCTCTATATACTTCAAATTTGTGACTCTCTATTCCATCACCGCTAGTTCATTAGGTGATCACCGTCGGGTGACTACACACGAGTTGTTGAAGGTTCCTAATAAATGTAACGATTTTACGAATAGTTATTTTCCCATCTTTAGCGAACGGGTTATAACTTTTCCTGTTTGCAAACAAAAATAGAAAACTATAGCATACATCATTAGCGTCACACACAAGCACATGCAGACCAGCTGAAGAATAGACACCACGCGGAGTCCGTACGAATAAATGTCCTCTTGGGAATATCATCACGTGTTACGCCCCGAAAACCCATTTACGAATTTCGTAAACAGCACCTCGACCACCCTCGATGACCACCACCACCACCACCACCACCACCACCAACAACAACAACAACAACAACAACAACAATAAGAACAACACATTGGGTCTTGTAAACAGAATTTATTTGATATGTTCTCATTAAGTGGACCAACTACTGATGCCCTCTGGTTCTACCGTGATTACCATGATGAAAAAGCGATGCNGCTTCTTCAATTTTTCAATGACAAATTAAAATGAGGATAATTTGTGTTGCTCTTACCAAACGTGGTCGGCCGGAAGAATCAGATATGAAAAAAATGTAGTTGTAAAGTATTTGTGAAGTATTGAGGGGAGAATGGGAGTTAGAAGCTGTAGCATCCATCAATGTCTTTAGAAAGAATGCTCCTCGAGATTTTTGACGACGCAGTTCAAAATAGTATATTGGTTAAGGTACAAATCTGAAGTGTGCAAAAGTTGCATTTCTCGTTAGCTTGGTACGGAATCTGATCGCATAAAATTCTCGGATGAGAAATGGACGACTTATAAACGATTCGAGATCCAATTCATTTTTTAATTTATACCAGATTAGTTGGTATCTAGCCAAACAATAATTGTCTTAAGCAAGCAAATCAGTAAGCAGACCAACATTTTTAAATCTATATATATAGCAACAGAGCGATGTTTTACTATTAGTTTATCTTGTGTCGGACATGCGCAACTGTTCGGCAACTTTCCACTCGGTTGGACGAATACTGAGATCAATAATCATATATTTCTGTCGTTTGTCTTACCTATTATATAAACAGTGAGGATAGTTTTCTGCGCTGGTCAATGAAGAACATCCGAGAACTGTTTTATCCTTGTTAGGGCACGTTATTGTCGTGCAACAATGTGCCACTGGTTGGATTTCAACTGTAAACCTTTGANACCTTTGATGACTAGCAGATTGAGAGCAGAGGTACAGCAAGCTGGGACTTTACGTTTGGATTATGCCTATTGCATTTAGTAGCGCTAGGCGCTACGTGTGGTCTTCTTTTGTCTTGGTTGTAGGTTTCACTTCATAGGAAAGTGTACGTGGTAGCAATGCATATTACGAAGGTTTCGAACTGTTCATTGGCTTGTACCTTATCGACATTGTCGCCCCTCCTCCGCACCCTGAGTGCTTGGTTTGGTTGGGATCTTGTTTTGGGTAATTCACTGTCTGTCCGCTCTTCCTGTTTTTTGTATAACCACGTAACATCCACACACGCAGCGGGACTTCAGCGATTGATGAAAGTAAGAACCACCTGCCGGGTAAAGTGTTTGAACAACCTAAACTCGGTCATTTCTGTACTAACAATAAAATAAACCTCGCTAACTCATGGTGAGACTTGTAAGAAACCTTCGGATAATTCCTTGCTCATCGTGACACACAAAAGTGCATCCACCCAAACATTCATTCGATTAGGATTATTCAAGTAATTTATCGGCCAAACGTGTTTTCCAATCAAATACTCCATATGTTTGTCAACACATTAAGTTAAGTTTAACCGAATTTTCCCAATATAAATAATCGGATATCATCTTCCTTCTCAGGACCTAATTTGTCATTTGATGCGGATCTTCCACCAATGTAAGAATGAACTGGCACAATTCGAAACGCTACGGTGCACCCACACGACTGAAGGAACATGAAAGTGCAATTTTGCACTGAGTATACACTCCTGAGCAGCTCAGGATGAATTTTTCAGTTATACTGTTTGCCGCACGATTTTCTTCTCGGTTTTGTTTATATTCAAACGTCTTAATTAATTAGTGTCTTTTGCCCCATGTGGTTAAGTAATTGGTGGTTAGCCCTGATTTACAGGACACATCAATTTTATGGCACCATTAAACCCAGTGGGTCGTGAAACGTTTCGTCCTTTCAGTCACGTGATGTGACGTTGATTGAGATACAAAAGTTAACATTGGCGATGAATCCGCTAAAACATATGTTAAAGTTTACTCAGATGAAAACTATTACTGAAGGGACCACCACTGGTTCGTTGCGATCAGCTTTTACGGTGTGTTAAGTAGGCTGTGTATCTGAATTACTTTTTGTAAATTTGAAAACATAAGCAGAATAAATTTTATTTGAAGTGCTTCGGATCGATTAAACAAAAATGTTAGAGTAGAATTCATTTATGCAAATCATCCCCGTACTCCGGTGTAAAACAGTTGTAGAAACTAGAAAACCCGTATTATTTCAGTGACTTGATCTCCTTAACTGCTACGGTTCCGTGGTTTTTTCGTCTCATAGGTTTCATGGGAACATCGTTATACCTTTTAACGCGATAACATAACGAATGTTTGTCGCTTTTTCCTTACAAGAATTGTTAAAATAATAGTTTCGGTCACATACGCAAAGTAAATACTGTGTCGTTCATGGTTGCTTTTTTCCTTGGGAATAAAGTTAGTCTCAAATGTCCACTATAACCGACACTTAATCATCTCTGATTAAAGTAACATCGATAATCGATTTGGGAACCGGTTGAATCAAAATGAATGAGAAGCGGAGAACAGTGTGCTCTATATTTTCTCGACTTCCGAAACTAAATCCATCTCCCAACAGCACACACACATCACCCAAATGGTGGGACAGGAAAATGTTGTTCTACATCAGAAAATCTTAGTGACATGTCCCCTTGGCAGATGTACGGATTGCGACGGTGAATCCGTGGGATTGTGCAGACGTTTCCTCCAACAACATCTATCTCAGACTGTCACGGTAATGATGACAGATTACACCGCGTCCGAAGTTACACCGTCGTGGCTGGATAACTGGAATCAGTCATTGAATGCTTTAGTCACGTTGGCGATTTTATCTATTCCGTCTAGAATGAGGTTGCACGTGGGACGAGGGGTATGGTGAACGGATAGCAGGGAAAAAATGGCCACACCAGACCTGCAGGGTTTTGACCCATGTTAACATACCGTCCTATCGATTTGTCGGTCGGCATTTATATATGTGCCTGCAGAAGTGCGTGTCATATTGGAACAAAATTGGATTCAAAAATTCCGATCTAATCCACACCCATCACTCTTCCCCNCCCCCCCCCCCCCAGTGCAAATGACAATCCAAAATGACGACCGAACATAGTTAGACCTATGTAATTGTAAAGTATGCATTTACTCATAGATTTACTGACGAAAACTACTATCCACAGTCAAAATTCACTTGTTTAACCCCTTGGTATGCAATTTTCCTTGTCTAACAGGGTTCACCTTTTATGCAGACAACTGGGCAATCTTGTTAACTTTTTATATGATTGAGAAAATTCTGAAATATGTCTTGCACATCCCGACTAGTGTATATGGCTTTAGAACCTGGGTTTGCCGAGTTCTATCCCATTCAAGTTTGATCGCTTCGGTGTCACATACGGCTTTGGTTTACAACCCATAGCAATTTTCAACAAATTAACGCAC